GGAGGGTGGGGGCAGGAGGAAGGGGGATTCTGCTCCAGGACCTCTCTCTGGTCGCTCAGGGCAGAGGGTAGAAGGTGGTCCTGCAGCCTCTCCCGCGGTCAGCCCAGAGGCCACCTGCCCAACGCCCAAGTGAGACACCAAGTCTACACTCCCAGCCCCACCCTGGAGACCACTGGGAGCCACTTGAGGGGAGAAGCCTCGAATCCACCGTCCCCTGAGGGACTTGAACCGCCCCCCATCCTCACCCAGGACCACCTCATGGGGGGAGGCATATGCCCAGCAGGAGCATAGAGGCCACCCTGGGCCCAGCAGATGTCAGGAATCCAGGTCAGGGAGGATAAGGAAGGGTGAATGGTCCGCACTCAGGGTTCACAGGAGCCGCTGAGGGCACTCCTGCCTCCCTAGTCCCCTCACTCCCACCCCCAGGCCAAGCAAGTGCAGAGGCTGACATGGACAGAAACAGAGAGAGGAAGTGGCCCCAGAAATCGCGGGATGAGAAAACAGGAATTGAGAGGGGAATCCCCAGAATTAGGCTTTGGGGCCTGGGCATAGGAGACAGGAAGGGGAGGGCCAGGGCTGGGTCGGTCCCACGGAAGGCCTTCCTGGGAGGCCCCAGCAGCCTCCCAGCCCCTGTCTATGCCTTAGTCTATCTGTCCAAAGGGGGCTCAGCTGCACCCAAGGCCATGTGCAGAGCGAATGGGGGTGCCCTGGGGACCCCCTGGGATCCCTGCAGTTCATTTGTCTGAAGCAGCCACAGTGCTTCCTGTGAGGCATCTGGGTGTCCCCATGGGGCCTCCAGCACCCACTAGAAGCTACTCAGCCATGGACGTGTTCAAACGCAGCCACAGTGACAGAAACCAGGACAGATGGCCTCCCCAACACCCACAGGGCCAAGTTGCTTAAGAACTCTGTCTGGGACGGGTGCGGTGGCTCACACTGTAATCCCGACACTTTAGGAGGCCGAGGTGGGTGGATCACCTGAGGTCAGGAATTCGAGACCAGCCTGGCCAGCATGGTGAAACCCTGTCTCTACTAAAAATACAAAAATTAGCTGGGTGTGGTGGCGGTCGCCTGTAATCCCAACTACTCCGGAAGGCTGAGGCAGAAGAATCGCTTAAACCCGGGAGGTGGAGGTTGCAGTGAACTGAGATTGTGCCACTGCACTCCAGCCTGGGAGACAGAGCAAGACTCCATCTTGAGGGCAGCGGGAGGTGGGTAAGAGAACTCTATCTGGGGGGTCGGCCAGTCCTGGGTTCAAATTCTAGTAGCCTCTGATTAGCCATGTAACAGAGTCTTCTCATCTGTAAAGTGGGGCTGTGCTCATGGGTGGATGTGAGGGTCAGAGGAGATGCCCGTGAGCCTAAGGGCACCAGGCACTGTGGAGCCCCAGGCTGGCCAACAGGTCACCTTGGCCTGCTCTGCAGCGCACCTAAGCTGCAGGACTTACCAGGGCTGGACATCCTCCTGCAGCAGCTCTTCCCACCTACAGAGTTGTGGGCAAGACTGCAGTGAACATTTATTGATTCTTATAGTTCAAGTACAGCTGGCCCTGTGTGAATAAGGCAGCAGGGCCTGAGGTCAGTGCCAATGCACCCTCTCTTGGATGTTCCTTTCTTATTATTATGAAAATTTTTAAATACATTAAAATGCTAAAAGGTTTTTTTGCTTTATCTATCTGTCCATCAATCCATTTTATCTTTTAACACAAAATAAATTGCAGACATCAGGACATTTCAACTCTGAACACTTCAGCATGCATATCATTAACTAAGATTCAAGACTTGTTTTTTGTTTTCAAGGTGAAATTTACGTTCAGTGACAAGCGCACGTCTTCAGTGTTGGGTGTTACTTTTTGGAAACTGGTTCCTAACTTTGATTTCCCTCCACAGGGCAGAGTGGAGTGGATGTGCTTGGGAGGCTGGGGCTTTCTGACTCGGTCCTGGCAGGGAGCTGGGGTGGGGTGAGGTGAGGACTTAGGGTCATGCCCAGGACTGGGAGGCAGCATAGGCGTGGGCCTGGGCCATGCTGGGGTTCTTTTTTTTTCAGCAGGGGGGGCGGACAGAGTCTCTCACTGTCTCACCCAGGATGGAGTGCAGTGGCCTGATCACACCTCACTGCAGCCTCAACCTCCCCGGGCTCAGGTGATGCTCCCACCTCAGCCTCCCCAGTAGCTGGGATTACAGGCACACACCACCATGCCCAGCTAATTTTTGTATATTTTGCAGAGATGAGGTTTTGCCATGTTACCCAAGCGGGGGTCAAATTTCTGGGCTCAAGCAATCCACCTGCCTTGGCCTCCCAAAGTGCTGGGATTACAGGCGTGAGCCACTGCGCTTGGCCTGGGATTCTAATCTGGCTCTGCCACTTCCCAGCTGTGGGACTGTGAGCAGTTGGCTTCCCCTGCTGGAGCCTCCTCTATCCTGACCACAGGGCCTGGCTCAGAGGAGCACTGGGCAAGGAGCACGAAAAGGCTCTGACTTTACCTCAAACTCCTTCCCTGCAGGGTCTCTCGTTCATCACTTTTATCTGCTATGTGGCATCCTCAGCATCTGCCTTCCTCACAGCACCTCTACTGGAGTTCCTGCTGGCCTTGTTCTTCCTCTTTGCTGATGCCATGCAGCTGAATGACAAGTGGCAGGGCTTGTGCTGGCCCATGATGGTGAGGACAGGGGCCCCAGGAGGGAGGGGTACCCTGCACAAAGCGACCAAATGAGGAGTCTGGAGTCATGCACTTGGGCCCTTATCCTTTCTCCAGTGTGCTGGAGTTTGCAGTTGGTTAGAACTGGATGGAGAGACCAAGCTTCAGATCATCCCAGCTCCACTCCTCAGCAGCCCTGTGATCTGAAGTGGGCTCTGGTGCTTCTAGAGCACGTCTTTGAGGCAGGGAACCCGGAGAGGGGTCTCTGGCCACCAGGTGGCGCTGGTGCTCCCCACGGGGCTTGCAGGAATGAGCTGCCACCACAGGAATTCAAGCCATTTCCACGCGGGCAGGACAGGTTAACTGAGGACTTGCAGGGCTTACCCAGACCTCAGCCATCGGCAACCCTGACCTCGTTTTGTCACCTGTGAGGGCCCAGACCCCAGTGGACTTCGCTGAATGAAATGTGTCCTAGAAAAAGGGCAGCAAAGGCTGGACTTTAACCCTTGTCTCTTGACTTCATATCCAGCATCTGCTGCCTCAGGAGGGCTGCACCTCCCAAGTGTCCCCATCTTAAGGACAGGTCAGCAGAAACTGTGATCCATAAATGGATCGGCCACAAGAGTGTGGCAAAACCGAGGCGCAGAAACAGATCTCCCCATTGGAGAACAGCAAGGGAGCAGGTGGAGGTGTTTCCAACTTCTGCTTCCACCGCGTCGCAGGGCAGGCTGCAGCCTGATCCACAGTTTTTTGTCCAGAGCTTAGGACAGCAGTCCCGCTGGACCTGGGATAGGGCAGTGTCAGCTGCTGGCAGGGCAGCAGAGGCACCTGGCGGGTGGGACAAAGGCCTAGGCATGTGGGTAGGGCCAGGATGGGGTAGGAGCCCTCAGGTGCTAGGCCTGGGGCTGGGAACAAGATCAGGCTGCCAGGCCTCCTCCCCATGCTGTGCTCAGCTCCAGGGGGCTCAAGGCAGCATGATGGTGTCCCTCTCTCCCCAGGACTTCCTGCGCTGTGTCACCGCAGCCCTCATCTACTTTGCCATCTCCATCACGGCCGTCGCCAAGTACTCTGATGGGGCTTCCAAAGCCGCTGGGGTGAGCAGCCGCCCCACCCCTCCGGAAACTGCAGATGCCACTCTAGCTGCTCACTTAGGGTGGGACCTGGGGCAGAGCCTTTCCCTGCTGGGGCCCCCCTGGGGTCTCATGTGGGTCCCGATGATGATTCCAAAGTCCTCTCATTAGAGATTGACTCTACCCGGAGTTTTGAAAGGCTGTTTGTCAAACCAAGTTCACAGCTCATTTTCCCACTTCTGTTACTCAGAGGGGTCTGTGCCTGTCACTCGGGCTGTCTGTCCAAGCAGGTCTGAAATGGGCCACAAGGCTGGGGCAGCCCTCCCGGAGCAGGGAGTCAGTGCTGTGATACGTCCCATCCACCCTGTCCACAGGTATTTGGCTTCTTTGCTACCATCGTGTTTGCAATTGATTTCTACCTGATCTTTAACGACGTGGCCAAATTCCTCAAACAAGGGGACTCTGCAGATGAGACCACAGCCCACAAGACAGAAGGTGAGCGGCCGGCCTGAATACCCCAGCAGTGCTGCAACAGGGGCCTGTCCTCCCTTGGGGATGGCCAGCTAGTTTGAGGCTGGGGTGGGATCATTTCCTCTCTCCCCATGGCAGTGTTTTTACAGCCCATTCTCACCTACTCTCATGCAGCACTGATCCAAAGCCAGTTTCATTCCCCTTGTGCCCCTCACCCCAGCCTTTTTAGGAAGGGCAAGCAGTGGGCATGGCTGAGCCAAGTCTCCCTGGACGACCCCCCTGGGCAGCCAGTCACTCTCAGGGCACCTGTCCACCTGGGATCCAGAGTGGCCACCCCCCTAACCCAGCCCCTCTGCTGTCTTACCCATCCAGGCCTGTCCTGGGGAGCTCAGAGGCCAGAGAGCACTCAGATCCAGAAACCATGGCAACGGACACATGATGTGTCCCATACCAGGGGAGGGGCCAGATGGGACAGCAATGACAACAGTAAAACAGGAGCTGATAGAAGTAGGGATACAGTAGCTGAAAGCAGGCCCACACTGAGTGCCAGCCAGCCTGAGGCTCCAGAGGGGACGCTAGAGCTGGGTCTTGATGGATGGCGGTAGAGGAGGGTGCAGGCAGAAGAGACCAGGCTGGTGCGGGAAGAAAACTGAGAGCAGAGACAGCAGGTGCTTCTGCCCGGGAGATGCTTCTCTGGACCAGGCGGATGTGCCCCTGTGCTGGCAGTGCCTGTGGCTGGGCAGGTAGACAAGGGCAGCTCTGGAAGGGCCTGCAGGCCCCACCCTGTGGTTGGGATCTTCCCTAGGCAGAACCAGGCTTAAGAGACACTAGTTTCCTAATAGCCAGGTGCTGGGGCCATGGGGATTTGTGAATCCCAGAAACTGTCCTTTTGCTCAAAATGAATGCCACTCATCCCATTCCATCCCTTGGCAAATACTAGGTTAGAGCTCCCAGGCGGTTTCCTCTGGCTCTGCAGCCTGCTCCCAGTTGCCCACAGCAAGTGATCCCAGCCAGCCAGCCCAGGGAACAATTAGTAAACGTCAGTGGAAACTTGGGAGGTTTTTTTTTTTCTTTTTTTACTATTTGAAGAGTTTCACATATGTAACAATTATTTTGCTGTAAAATTATTCCTGACTTGTATGTTAGAATTGAATGTAGCGGCCAAGCACAGTGGCTCATGCCTGTCATCTCAACACTTTGGGAGGCCGAGGTGGGTGGATCACTTGAGGTCAGGAGTTTGAGACTAGCCTGGCCAACATGGTGAAACCCCATCTCTACTAAAAATACAAAAATTAGCCGAGCATGGTGGTGCCCACCTGTAATCCCAGCTACTTGGGAGGTTGAGGCAGGATAATCGCCTGATTTTGGGAGGCGGAGGTTGCAGTGACTTGAGATCACAACATTGCACTCCAGCCTGGGCAACAGAGCGAGACTCCATCTCAGGGGGAAAACAAAAAATTGAATATAGCAAACCCCACAAAATCTGAGGAGTGCAGCCCAGGAAGAGGAGTAAGGGGCAGAGCTGGGGTTTAGGGACTAGGCTGCCCACACCCAAGCCCTGGGCCCGGCCATGAGTCAGTGACAGCGTGGGGACTGACTGGGGTTCTGAGAGACAGAGGCTGGCCAGGGAGGGGATGAACATCAGGAAGTAGCAACCAGCACTGGGGCGGAGTGGGGGGTTAGTGACTCTGGTGCTTTTCCTTCTGGGGTGGAGGTTCCAGAAGGCTCTACAGAGCTCCCTTCAGTATTGGGATTTCAGGAACCCTCGAGGCACACCTCATAGGCAGGCCCTTACCATTATAAAATTGTTTCTGATTACAATATTAAACAAGGATTGGGAAAGGGGATTGAAGATATAAAATGGCTAAAAAGAGGCTTGCTGATTTTCCAGGATATTTAGTTTGGGGGACAAGAAAATCATCATCCTTACCTTGTCCTGCTGAACCTGGGGGTGGGGATAGAGCTGGGATGCAGAGGTACAGCCCTGACCCGCCCAGCTGAGAACAGCCCAGGGAGACTCGGGAGGGGCTGGGCCTGAGGAAGGGGTACCTGGGCTTCAGTCTTGGGGTGGAAACACCCCCACCTGCACCCGTACCCACACCCTGGAGGTGCAAGTGGCTGCTGTGGCCGGGCGCGGTGGCTCACGCCTGTTACCCCAGCACTTTGGGAGGCCGAGGCAGATAGATCACCTGAGTTCAGGAGTTCAAGACCAGCCTGACCAATATGGTGAAACCCCATCTCTACTAAAAATACAAAAGTTAGCCGGGCGTGGTGGCACACGCTTATAATCCCAGCTACCGGAGGCTGAAGCAGGAGAATCGCTTGAACCCGGGAAGGTGGAAGTTGCAGTGAGCCGAGATCGTGCCATTGCACTCCAGCCTGGGTGATGAGCAAGACTCCATCTCAAAAAAAAAAAAAACCAGAAAGTGGCTGCTGCCTCTGGAAGGCCTCAGGCCTGGGGCCTGCCCTGATGCCAGTGATCACTGGGAATGGTAGCGTCAGCTGTGAGCGGCCTGCACCCAGGCTCCTGCCAGCAACCCAGCTGTGCTTCCCCAGAGACCATTCCCGGGCACCACTGCCCTGAGCCTCCTGCCAAGCATCCTCTCTGCTTTCCTTTCAGAAGAGAATTCCGACTCGGACTCTGACTGAAGGCCTGGCGGGTGCCCTGGCAACCTGAGCCACACAGGCCTCCACTCCTGCGCCTCACAGGGGACACTGGCGTTGGAGGGGAAGCCTGGACTTCTGAGTTGCAGAGGGGGCTGCAGACACAGCAGGCCCCTACAGCTTCAGGTTCTGCCTGAGCCCAGCCTACCAGGCTTGCCCCTCAGCTCAGCACTGTTGACCATGCTGCGTGTGAGGGCATCTTGGGTGTCCCACCCCTTCTCCCCATTTCTGTCCCACAAGCCTTCAGCCCTTTAACCTCTCTGCCAAAAACCAGCACAAGGAGACAAAGCAGAGCCTTGTCTCCACCTGGGCAGCAGGCGTTCCATGCTGCTAGGTGGTGGGGGTCGGGGGTCTTCTGTTTCACTAACAGGAACAAAGACAGAAACCGTGACAGGGCTGCCCCGCCAGGCCCCGCTGGGTTTGTCTGCACTTGGTGCTCCTGCCCACGCCAGGCACTTTGGTGACAATGACCCTTCCAAGAATCTTTGGTTCAAGAAGCACCAGTTCCCTCTTCATTCGTGAAGCAGGGAGAAACTGACCTTTGCCTTGTCGCTCAGGAGAGTGGGGCTCCGCACCCATAACTGACACCTCCCACCCTTGGAAACCATGTTTTCTGGGGGTGAGATGACCATTCTGGGTCTAAGACTGTTTCAAAGAAGAGCTCATAGACTGACTGGACCAGAAGACAGAGGGTACAACAGTGACGTCACAGTGACAGTGTCACGGGGAGCTGGGCGGGCCCAGCCAAACCCTTCTTCTTCCTAGAGCCCAGGCAGCAGGCAGGAGTTCCTGGACCCTCAGGACAGTGAACTTCCAGACCCCAGGGCAGGTCTATGGGCCACTGCGGGAGATGAGACCAGCCTTCTGTGTTCACCTAACGACTTATACCGTGTATCTGTCTTTGATGGAATTTTGTAACTTTTTATATATTTTTTATACAAAAGCAGCTTCTTAACAGATGGCATTTTCTGTGACTCTAGGCCTCACAAAAGAGCCAGAGTTCTGGACCCATGTTTGGAGCATCTGTAGCCTTATTCTCTTGCATGTGAATCTCTTACCCTGAAAAAAAGCCATAATGAATTAAGCCAGACTGACCACTTGCTTGGAGTGTGTGTTTGAAAAAACTGGAGTAATACTGTTGGGTATCATGTCAGGCTTCAGTACAAGCTGGTAAGGCCAGTGTGGATCCTGTCAGTTTTCAGTGTTAGCAAAAATACACATGAAATCTGACTACCATTTAATCCTTTATTTCAGTGGTCCCTAACCTTTTTGGCACCAGGGACCAGTTTCGTGGAAGACAGTTTTTCCACGGACTGGGGATTGGGGGGTAGGTTGGGGTGAGGGTGGGAGGGGATGGTTTCAGGATGAAACTGTTCCATCTCACATCATCAAGCATTAGATGTTCATAAGGAGCACACAACCTAGATCCACAGCATGCACAGTTTACAACAGGATTCGTGTTCCTATGAGAACCTAATCCCACTGCCGGGCTGACAGGAGGTGGAGCTCAGTTGCTTGCCACTCACCTCCTGCTGTGCAGCCTGGCTCCTAACAGGCCCCATGGTACCAGTCCACTGCCCAGGGGTTGGGGACCCTGGCTCTAGTTCTCACACTATCCTGTTTTACAAACAAACTGAGACAAAGGTCGGGTAACTGGCCCAGGGCCCTCTCACTTACACATCAGGATAGTGTCTCACAGCAGCCTCAGGCAGCGGGAACCCTGGGGCTCTCTTAACAGCCCAGAGAACTGCAGCCCTGGAGGACCCAGGTCAGCATTCTTGTCCAGGCTGATGGGAAAAGACAAGACATTCCACCCAAACTGTCATACACCACATGTGCTGAAAATGCATATGAAAGCTGGGTGTGCAGGAGCGGAGAGGCCCCTGGTGGAATTTACGTTCCACCTTGTCAGCCCTGGCAAAGCGGCAAAGCTGGCGTCACAGAGGCCTTGTTCCACCGAGGATCATGGCTCTGTTCAACCTCCACACAGCAGCCCTGTTTCAGGAACTGGATCCATAACCTTTAAGGGGCAGAGGAGGCCAGCCAGAGTGAGGAGAGACAACGACATCCTTACACGTCCATTTATTAAACAAGAGTTCCTTCATGACGATTTAATACAATAGTTATTAACGATTAGTGTTGAGAAAATTATTTTCCTCTACATACAAAAATACAGATTTGAACACTATGAAAAAGATCAAGACAAGTACCGTGAAAAATTGGTCCTTCAAATGAAAGGGGGAAAATTGAGGGCAATGTGAGGCTTTGCCTGCTGTCGGGGACAAATCAATAGCAGCAAAGCTTTGGGGCCCCAACCCACTCCAGACATACAGACTTGAAGCCGAGAGCCAGGCCAGCCAGGGGGCACCCACCCAGGGCTTCTGTAGCTGAAAAACCAAACACATAAACCTAAGTTTGCCCAGTGGGCATTGCCTCAGAAAGCCCACAGTTGTGTCTTTAAACTGCCAGAATGAAAGAGACTTAACAAGTAAAATGTGATAGTTGTTAATATTGCCCCCCAAAAGTGCCACCAGGTGAAGTACCACGGATAAATCATATTGGAAAGTTACTACTTAGCCATCTGGCTTGACTTCCTTGGTTATCAAATAATTACATATTCTGACCCTTCAGAAGGACATCAAAAGCTACGATTTTATGTTTCAATCCATCTGTACCTTCATTTGCAATGGCTCAGCTAGTTTATTCAAGGGTTTTGGGACCAGCCATAACTCACGCCCTGCAGGAAGGAGAGGCGAAAGGAGCTGCTAAAGAGTATATGTCTGTGTCTTGGTGTCATCTAGCTCCTCACAGCAAGCAGCCTGTTTTGTTCAGGCCTGAAGCCTGGAATATGCCACCAAGCCTAGCCAGAGCATCCACAACGAACCAATACGAGATCCGAGTGGAAGGTGAGAGCTCCGGAGCCGGCTGAGGTCCCCCGGGAAGCTTCCCACTCTGTAGTGGCAGGAAGGCCACGCCTCTGCAGGATGCCTGCACTGATCCTGGAAGGGGCCCGGGCCAGAGAATACACCTGGGCTCAGTTCACCAGCCCAAACCACAGGGGAAGGAGCCAGACGCCGGCCTTTCACCATTTTACACCCAAAGACAGGTCAGGGCTCTGATGCTACTCTTTTGTTTGTAAAATATGGAACCACTTTCTTTGTACTGTTTGAGGTGAGCAGTGGCTCCAAACTGAGCAAGTGGTTAAAAAATGCCAATGCAATTATACTGACTTATAATTATTTCACAGAAATATACTCTTACTCTCAGACTATTTAAATAAGCAGGAACAAGATGTGGGAGAAGCAGCAGCAGACAGGAAAGAGGAATAGCCAGGGAATTTTTTTGTTGTTTTTTTCTTCTTTAAAATACATACGAAGTGTAAAGAGAAAATGGCCAAAACCTCAAAACTACCATTGTTGAAAACAATATTAAAAGGACACAATCTAAAATCATGCTACAAAAATAGTGTTATCTGGCTTAACTAAATGTACATCTTTTTTTCCAATTCCATGATTGACGAGTGCTTATGCGACGCATGGAAGGCACCAGAGGTGAAGTGATTATTTGCCTTAAAATATACAAAGACAGAATTGCCTACTTTGAAAAAAAAATAGTCATACTTGTAAATAAATATGTTTCTGCCATGGGTTCCTGAACCCCTACAAATTTCAACATATACAAATAGTTTCAATTCCTAGCATTCTCTTAGAGGGAACCATGTCAAACAAAATCAAGTTAGGAAAAGCACTGATTTTATCCAAGTAGGTCAATTTGAGGCAAGATTCAAAAACTCGTTTTAAAATGGGTTACAGAGTGAAAGAGTTGGGAGCAGGCAGCCCCCTTTGGGCCTGGGCCAGCCTACTAGTCCACCCCAGGTGTCCTGCCCTCGCATCTGCCAGCCCCCGAGCCAGCCAGGTCGCTCTTCAAACCCTGAGTATTTGCCTTCCTCACTTCTGCAAAGAGGGGAACAGAGTCTTGAAACTTGCAAAATTGACTCCGGAAAAAGCAGGCAAGCAAAGCAGGGCCTGTGGGGGGAAGCGGCGTGAGTCAGGCCTCACCCTGGTGCAAGGGCACCAAGTCTCCCTCCTCTCCCCTCGTCTCCTCACCATCCCTTCGCGTGACTGACTTTCCTGATAAAAATGGGGTACTTCCTACTGGGTGTCTGCACTGTCATCCTAAGGCAACTCAAGACATGATAGTTTTAGACTATGATCAAGTCTCACACAAACCATTATCAGAATCTTGTTTCACACCATCTCTCTTTTCAGGAACAGTTAGGAAAAGAAACTCTGGCCTGGCCCTAAATCCCATTAGCAAAGCTGACTAAGGTGGTCTGAGATATGTTCTTACTCCTAAACTTAAACTTCAAAAGTTTCGATAGCTCCCTGGGGTCCAAGCCAAAGGCTCCCTGGCCTTTCTGTATTATGCATCCCAAAGAAAACATGCCACCCCAGGTGTCTAGATAGCAGTCACCTGAATTACAGCCTCAGCATAAAAAAACATAGACAACAAACTCACCCTATGAAATAGATACACCATTCAAGGACCCATCATCTAAACTTTTCTAGGCAAGCTGCCAGTGATTCAAACTCAGCGGGCTTGTGGGTGATTTTTTCCCTTACTGTTATGTTTGTGAATAGGAAAAACTAGGAAGGAAAAAAAAAATCCCAAAGGTTGAAAAACTGTATTCAAATGGAAAAAGAATATATCCCAGACAAAAGAAGAGAATATAACAGGACCTATTCCGCTTCAAGCTGAAGAGTGTACAAATGCTACTCACTCACATGAAGAAGAACTAAACAGAACATTCACTTTCAGAAGAACATTCTTCTAGACGTAATAGATATTGAAGGTATTTTCTCTCACAGTTTCTAAATAAAAGAAACATAAAAGGTCAAATATTTTAAATTACTTTCTCGACCAGACAGTTCTTGTGATTTGAATGACATCTGCTGAGAAGAGAAGAAACACAAGATTCTATAAAGCGCCAGGGAAGTTTACAAAGCTGAAAGCTGAGGGTGTCAGGCCTGCGTCCTGTCTGAGATGGCAGCCAAGCCAGCTTCAGAGTCACCTGCTGGACCCACATGTTCCTGAGCCAGATGCCAGGAGCTCACCCATAGCACGGGGAAGACCTGTCCCCAGCATCCCACTCTTGCCCTCAGGCTGACTGTGGAACATGAGACAGCTTTCAAAGACAAGAGGACAGGAAGGCAGTTAACCAAGTACACGTTTCCAAGATAGCCTGAGCTGTCTAGTGCTGATGGAAGACAGGCGGGGTGTTCCAGGCCACCGCTTCCTCCCTCATCTCCCGGACCTGACTGTGTGTGGACCTCACCAGCCTACCAAGCTGTTGGGCCTGGACATGGGTGCTGATAAAATAAGACAAACCTGGAAAAAACCCTGGATTCTGCAACTTCACTGGGAACTAACAAGGCACCTGGAGACCTCACAAGCTAATGGCAGTCCCTGGAGCAGGAAGCAACTTGTTATTCTGCTCAAGAGAATCCACCAGTAGCTCTTGGCCTAGAAACTTTTTTCCCCTTTCTGATACCTGTTTAACGTCATTATTTCTCTGTAAACAAGTCTGGAGAAGATGACAGTCAGGCAGTGGCACAAAGACTTCATGATTGCTTTGTTTTGAACACAGATGAGACAATGGGAACCCTTAAATCATCACTGCCTTGCAGAATCACTAAATTGGTCAGGTGTCTCCACGCTCTATTCATCTCCTAGGTGTTAAGACCAACCCACAGAAAATCTGGCGATTTACCTCGCCAGAGAGGGATTAGACCTCAGTCCATCTCTTAGAGCACATGGATAGGTGAGGTTTTCTCATGTGAATCTACAGGAAAACACGTCTGGGCCACACGCAGGACATGACACACACTAGGGTTGTTCAGGGCTCATTCACTGCAAGCAAGAATTCATATACATGAGTGCACAAAGGTGTTGGAGCTTGGTCTCCTCAGGCTTAACCCAATGCTGACTCACTAGGACAGCTTCCAAGAACCACAGATGAAACTGCAAACTTGAAGAGAGTCAAAATGTTTTCAACTGAGTCACGAAGCTCTCCCAGAAGCACCCAACATAGGGTGGAGGTCAGACACATTCCGTGGCTGCCCACAGGCGTGAGCCTTCCCGCCAGGGGACAGTAACAGGACCCAAAGGGCTGCGGGTGCCGCCGACTTCCCAGGGCCAAGCCCTCAGAGCTGGGCTGGCCTTGCCCATGCTGGCTTTAGCTCACGTTGCCAAGGAAGATGTGTATTGGGGCTGTGCAGGGTGCCACATTCTTGCTTTTTCTGTAGACAAAAGTCACCTCCCTCGGATGGCTGTTCACTTCAAATTGAACTTATCTGACGAGATTTTAATCTGTAACTGCATCTGCTCTTCCCAGCTTTATGTGGGACCAGCAAGCATCTTCAGCCTTTCATGACTGCAATCCCTCTTTAAGGCAGGGAAAGCGTATTTCCCTCCCCTGCCTTCAGCAATGTGAAGGAAGGATATCAAAGAGAATCAGAGGGAAAAAATACCAAATCCACCCAATCAGTGCCAAAATAAACTTTCTCTGAGGACATCAGTGTTTGCATCCATCTAAAACCACCAGAGGTTCCACCAAATGCTTGAGGGTTTCAGCTGTACAGTGTCCAGGAACAAATCCAAATGCACATAGCAACTGCAGTTTCTTCAAGTTTTGCTTGAAATGTGAAAACCTATATCAACCCACCAGAACAGTGAGAAAAATTAAGGTCACTCAGCCTTCAAATGCCCCAAACCAAACTGATATTGGTCCCTATTGAAACTATTAAATGCAAAAACACTTCCTTCAATTTGCCAAGAGGTCATTTTAAGGCCCCCAGATATAGATTGTCTTCTGTTTGCACAGAGGCAATATAAGAAAAATATAGGCATCTTCACGTTCACCGTGGACAACCCTATTCCCTCCAGAACTTTCATCACCACATGGTCTATACATGATGAGATGTGCAACCACACATTACATCAACTAGAAAGTGTCCATGGCACCACTTCCGGTCCTAGTGGGAGTTAATTAAATACAAGGAGAACATTTACAAAACCACGGGGGAGCCTCATGGCACAAAGGATATTAAATAGTTACAGGGACATAAATAATTCTGAAGAGTCTATCACGAAGATGCAAATTGACTCGTAAGTCACTCTGTGGCGTGGCATCCTTTTTGGTCATTCATCTGCATTTAGTTTCAGTGACTTCGGAACTATTTCTTGCAGCTGACAACATATCCTCGGGAGGCCGACCACCTGCTCCCACTTTCACCAGATGATCAAGTGGTTTTACTGAAGTGACCTGGAAAACTTGGGCAACAAGCCCACCTGAATGGTGTTGTTTTTAATCCCACTTCAAAGGTGGCCTTTTTTGGGGGCCAAGTAACAAGATTCCCAGCAAGAGATTTCTGATAAAGCTCAGGGTGGTCCTTCCAAATGGGCGCCATTTAATGCAAGGCTGAGCCTCTGTGGCCCTATTTTAAAAGGGACTCTTAAAGGGAGATAAGCCCAGTTTTGACTTTGCAAACACACTCAACAGACCTGCCAGGCAGCACACCCAGCTGTGAGCCGGCCTGGCTGCCCTCTCTGTGGGAGCAGAGGGGAGACAGTTGTTAACAGGCTAGCAGGGTCAGCCCGAGACAGACATGGTGCTCAGCCACAAAGCCTGGGCCACTGCTCCGAACTCAGATCGTACTCAAGGTGTTGGTGCGGGGAGCTAACCTCAGCTCCGACCCCCAGCCCAGCAGTGTTGCCTGATCAACACTGTGAGATCAGATGCTATCCTTTCCCGGGGAATGAGATGCCACATGTGCATAAGGGGACGCTTTCTCACAAAGACCCCCGCCGCCCCCTCAGAGTTATTTATTACGCAGTACACTGCTAAAGCTGTCAACATTTGTCAGCACTTGATCTTGGGGATTTCTCCACATTACTGCAAAATCTTCCTACCACAGTGCTTTTTGGTGAGGGCTAAACACAAAATGTTAGAGCTAGAGTGAGGTTTGTAAACATTAAAAACAGTTCAAAGAGTGAAAACCTGACAAACTAAACCAACTTTTTTCCATAAAAGATATAATTAATCTCTAATTTAAAAAAAAAAAAAAAACTACTGCATCATGGGGACTCACTGAACTCATTCACCACACACAATAATCTTCACTTTATCAATAATCAATCAGAAACCTTAAGCAGCTAGGATTTTTCACCCCAACAACTCCCAAGAATGATGTCTGTAGTTATGACACTGAGGCGCCCAAAGCAACAGTTAGTGCCTTTTGAAACATGGGTGGAAGGGTGTGTTCTGGTGCAAATTCAAGTATTTTCAAATCCTAGACGAATCTGCTCAGAATCACGTTAGAACTCTTTGCAGGCATTTAGAAAATTAGCACACAACCCTAAAATAGAGGAGGGTGTGTGTGTGTGTGCGCGCGCGTGCGCATGTGCATGCTGTTTTTTAACACAACCACATACCTCCCACCTGCAGTCCATGAAGCCAGCAAATGGGCAAGTGCTTTGGCTGGTGGAATAGGCTTGTTTCTTTCATGGCTTTTACCTGAGAAGGTAAAATGACTGAAAATCTGCAGTTCAGCCTCAAAGTACTTAGGGTAGGCAGGAAACTGGAAAACAAGATGGTCCCCATATTCCTGGAGAAGAATCTGGGGTTCAGGAAGCTGATTCACTTGAGGAAGAATCAAGTGATTTCTCATCAGAGTAGGAAACAAAAGGTAACCCTCCCATGAGTCACAGGTCCCTGGGAGCCATCCTAATAGGACATCAGCTTTCCCCAACCCTGTGGCCTTTGGGCTGGTGCTGGCTGCCTGGGGGTCCTGGCATGGAAGACGAGGAGTGGGTTAGATCCTGGCAGCCAGACTCAACACTGACTTGGAGCAGGTGGTGCCTAAGGCTGCCTGAGAACCACTGCCGACTGACCGTTCCAATGCTGTCCCTTCATTCCTTCATATTTCCCCCCCTTTTAGCAGCCCCATTTAATCCAAAGTCATCTTGTTACAAATACACATGACAGGGTGGCTCAGAGTCAAAGGAAGCCTGTGCTTCAGGGCAGGTAAGACCACAAGTGGACCTGGGCAGTGACACTGGCTGCTCCACAGCCCCAAACACCAAGGAACATGGGCCTCCTGACTCCACCGCGGACCCGCCCACTGGGCCACTCGGGAAACCCTTTCCCAAAATGAACTTTTACCAAAGAGGACAAAATTCAACTGAATCACATGGAAATCTGACACAACAAGGGAAAGAAAACTTGACTGAGAGACGGGCACAAGGACGGGAGGGAGGAGGATCCAGGCAGGTCCTCACGTGTCCAGGCGCTGGATCTCAGGGCGACTGTCCACATCCCTGGACTCTGTGCGGGCTCGGATGTAGTCATTGGTGCTCTGCTGGCGGACGCTGACTCTCCATTTCTGCACTGCCAGGAATGTGTTCACTGCATATGCTGCAGTCGCCAAGAAGCCAAATATCTAAAACACACCAGCACAGTTAGTCCTCGGGCACGTGGCCTAGCCCCCCAAGGCTTCCGTGGTGACCCAAGCCACGTGCAGCCCCTTCTTGCTCTGCCAACTGACCACTACAACCCTGTGCCTTCATTCTTTGATCTCTTTCCCCTCTCAGCAGCCCCATTTAATCTAAAGTCTTGTTTCAAATACATATGACAGGGTGGCTCAGAGTCAAAGGAAAGCCTGTGCCCAGCCCTGCTGGATGTGTGGCTGTCACACCACGGCTGAGTCTCTAGTCATGTGACACACAGAAAATCTTGCCTGACCTAAAGACAGCCTAAGGTTTCCTTTGAAGTATTGTGGACCTATAAGAAAAAAAAAAATCACAAAAGTACCTCTTTTACTGCACCTTCAGGGCCTCTGGTCCCAGATGAGAAAATACAGTGCAGACAAAATGTAACGTAGACAGAAAATCAGGGTTTTGCATGTGGGTCCCAAATCAAGCCACAGGGCCAAACGTTCCACATCACAGCCCCCATCCCACACCTGCCTCTCACTGGGCAGCTCCAAGGAAGCAGCTCCAGAGTGAGAAGCACAGAGTTTTAATTATTAAGACTGACAAATCTCCTGAGTGGTACCTGAGAGAACAGCTAGTTTAATCATTTATAAACCTTTTAATGCCCCTATTACAAAAAGGATACCTGTTCCTCATAAACTGAGAGCAATACCTGTTCCTCATAAACTGAGCAGGGCATGCAGAGGGAAAGTCCTACATTATCTGGTCCCCACCCGCCATGGCATTTCCACCTTGAAATGTCATGTGACTGCTAAACGGCATCATGACTGCATTCAAGAACCCTCCCCTCCCTTCCCCAGGCAGGCAAGGCTCTTTCTTTTTTTCTTCTTTTTTTCTTTTGAGACAGAGGCTCGCTCAGTCGCCCAGGCTGGAGTTCAGTGGCGTGATCTCAGCTCACCGCAAGCTCCGCCTGCTGGGTTCACGCCATCCTCCTGCCTCAGCCTCCTGAGTATCTGGGACTACAGGCACCTGCCACCACACCTAGCTAATTTTTTTGTATTTTTGATAGAGACGGGGTTTCACCGTGGTCTCGATCTCCTGACCTCATGATCTGCCCGCCTCAGCCTTCCAAAGTGCTGGGATTATAGGCGTGAGCCACCATGCCCGGCCAGGTAAGGCCCTTAAACAACATCACTGACAATCATCAAGGACTGTGTTGGAAATGAACCAAAGCAGGGGTTCTTGAACTGGAGTATGCATCTGTATCATCCAGAGGGTTCATTCAAATACATTTCTGACTCAGTAGCTCTGGAGTGGAGCCTAAGGATGTCTAACAGATGCTGAGATTGCTGTTCTGGGGCCCATACTTTGAGAACCACAGCACTGAAGGGACTGGGACCCCCACTGGCCCAGTAACATCATCTTTAGCAAAGGAAAAGCCATAGGAGGGGGAGCAGGACAAATGCCAGGGACAGGCGAGCAGGTCACAGGAGGTCCCCAGATCAGCCTGCTTTAACCATTTGAGTTTGCTTACCACGGCAGCAATTTCTGCTCCGGCTCTGTGATTTAAAGTAGCCAGTACGATTGAAGCAATAAAGAAAAGGAAAGTGCTGAGTCCAGTGTTGACCAAATCCTAGAGAGAGAGAGACAAAATAAAACAAATGAGAAGAACCATTCCATCTTTGCTCTAAAAGCAACTGAAGAACTTTCAAAATAAGACCTACAATACCCAACCTCCCTGGTGGCTCCATATTTCAGTCTCAATGTCACAGGGTTACTGGTCACACAAAAGAAGGCAAAGTTTATGACACTACTTGATAAATCACCACCACAAAATCTTCATTTTCACCAACCCCACTACCCTTTCTGAAGAAGTACTAACCAAAATTGGTAACAGTAATTACCATTTAGAGGTCTGGTGCCATCCTTTAAAAACCACACTCCAATCATCTTGCTATGGACAAAGCTCTCCAGGGGTCCAAATGTACTAAAACTGGTGAAATCCCTCCAGCATTCCCCGCACTCACATGTGACATTCAAAACAAACTTTCACACATAGAAAGCACACAGCCAGACCTCACGCTCTTTCTCAAGCAGTCTTTCAAGCCTCTATGTCACTAAAGCCTGGAGAATTTTCTCCTAAGCTTCTCGCACAGCACACATCCACCGTTTCATAGATTTAACTCCTGTCTTATTTGTAGAAGGGAACATAGCACGGTAATGAAAGGTCACAGCCTAAGCAGGGTCCAAACCACCCATATGACTTTGGACAAGCTACTTTGTTTCTGTGCTTCACCTGAGAATGTACCCCATTCCTCCCAGAGTTGTTGAAGGCATTAAATGGAACTATACAGGTAAAGAGCCCAGCATGGTGCCTGGCCCACAGCTACGGTTGCTTACACATTTACTGTCACTTCTATTATTACCACTTTGGCCTGAGGCCCCCAGTAGCCTGGGTCATAACAGAGTACCTCTAAAACCTCTATAGGAAAAAAAAATTCAAGAAAAAGCCCAAACTGCCTGAGTGCCAGGCTGATTACACTATAAACACCTGATGGGTCCTCTGGTCTGGACTGGCTCCAAGGTCGATTTCCTCTTTTTGAAGATGTAAAGATGGCTGGTGCGGTGGCTCACACCTGTAATCCCCGCAGTTTGGGAGGCTGAGGTGGATGGATCACTTGAGGTCAGGTGTTCGAGACCAGCCTGGTCAACATGGTGAAACCCCATCTCTACTAAAAATACAAAAATTAGCTGGGCATGGTGGTGCACACCTGTAATCCCAGCTACTTGGGCAACTGAAGCATGAGAATCACTTGAACCCGGGAGGTAGAGGTTGCAGTGAGTTAAGATCGCACCACTGCACTCCAGCCCGGGTGACAGAGCAAGACTCTGTCTCAATAAAATAATAAAATAAGATGTAAAGAGACAATGCTGGCATCGTAACAGTGCTGAGCCTTGCAGCAGACACCCAACCTGCTCCTGGCTCACGGAAAGCTCTGCTCAGATACATCTGCCAGCAGGATGGGTTTCAGCTACGACCTGCATAAGCCAGGGCAAATTTTTCACAAATTCAAACCAGAAAGCATTTAGTTACACTCAGCTCTGGTAAGATGCTATAGGGGTAAAAAGAGAATATAGAATATACTTCCCAAAGCAAAGACTATTCAGAAACAAGGGGAAAATATAATACACTGTGAGGTCAAACATCAAATAAAACAGTATCGACATTAACAGTGACTTTTTAAAAACAGAGATGCAGCAAAGGGCTAGAAAACAAACAGGCCAGGTGCGGTGGCTCATGCCTGTAATCCCAGTACTTTGGGAGGCCGAGGCGGGCGGATTAGCTGAGGTTGGGAGTTCGAGACCAGCCTGACCAACACGGAAAAACCCTGTCTCTACTAAAAATACAAAATTAGCCGGGTGTGGTGGCACATGCCTGTAATCCCAGCTACTCAGGAGGCTGAGGCAGGAGAATTGCTGGAACCCGGGAGGTGGAGGTTGCCGTGAGCTGAGACTGCACCATTGCACTCCAGCCTAGGCAACAAGAGCGAAACTCCGTCTCAAAAAAAAAAAAAA